GCTTTTAGCACATTTCTCTTGGTATATTTTTAATAAATAATAAACATCTTTCGGCCTCCCACACTGTGATCTTGATTCAAACTAAGAAAGAAACCTGCTTGTATTCTCTTTAGATTGTGCTTTTACTCTTGGCTGAGATGAAAACGCCACCAGTAATCCCAATTTCCTTTCTCACCTCCTTCTTGGTTTCCATTTTGCACCTTACCTTTTTGATTTTAAATTAAATCAAGTCATTGTTATTTCTGAAAATTTATTTTAAATTAGTCCAGTATCTGGATTTAATAGCAATGTCCAAAACATGCTGTACATGTATGCTGATCTTTCTTTTAAACACAAACTAGATGACTTTTAGGAGGACTCTGAAATTTTGCTTATTTGTGGTATTTGTCGAACTGCATCCAAGCACTATAGCAAGGTGATTGAAATTGCAGAAAGGAAGATAAGGGAGAAATACCCTTGAAGGGCTAGGAGTGAAGATTGTTTTTCAGAGGAGTATGGGAAATACTGTTGGAAGGGAGGTAGGAGGAGCAGGAAGGGACTCTGCAGTTACAGCAGAGACATGCCAGAAACCAGACAGAGCTTTCGGTGTGTAATTGGAAAAGGTCATTTGGGGTGGTTGCTTTGGAATTGTACTTCTGCTGGGTTGCCGTAAGAAGCACTTGAATGTAAGAAGCTTTTTATTGAGGCTTCAAAATAGCTCTGTTGTGCTCATCGTGAGACTAGGGGCTATATATATACATCTATTTAGTTTTTTGCTGTACTGAGGAATATTTTGAAGACTGCTGGACTACTGAAGGTGATATGATCTTGCTGCTCTGCAGATGACTAGTCATAGAGAGGTGGGAGCCTGTGAGGAAAAGCCAGCTAATGAGCTTGTGCAGTGCTGCATGCATTTCATGCTGAGGATCCACTGGTGTACCTCTCTTCTGTCAGCTGTCCTGAACTCTGTGTAATTGTTGGTCAGATAGTCTATATAATACACTGTGAAAGTGACAGCTAGAAGAGAATGTCACTTGGGCCTAGTCACGCACAGCATGTATGTGCTGTGCTGTAGACTGGCCGTTTCAGCTGTTATTTCACACGAATTTGTCTGAGCTCTTAAGCAGGGAACACCTGACTCCTAAAATAGTGCACGGTTTGGTTATGCATGCTCCCCTGAATGTAAACTCCTCTGACAGCCTGCTGCCCATGTTTTATGGCCTCTCATGCTTTCATAATAACACTTAACATCTGCACTACAAAATTTCTAACATCAATTTGTTCAAATAAAGAATCCACCAAGCATTTAATCCTTGTTTTAATGGCTGATGTTTATTTTAGTTTGGGATTTTGTATACTCGTGGAGCGTTTCTTTGCCCATAGTCCATAAATCACAAAGGGCAGGAGTGAGACTTCCCTCTGTGCTGGTTTCTTTCTGAAGTGAGGCTCTGGAGATTTTTGTTATTATTTTTGCTACTTCTGTACAGCTCGCTTATCTCAGGTAGGAGTTGCAGATGTGTTTAATGAGGTTTTTTTCCTGTTTTTGATCTCCTTTTTACATATCTCTGGTACAGAATGCTTTTTGCTGTAAACCTTCTCTCTTTGTTCTGTCTGTGATTGTTCATCCATGAAATTAGTAGTTTTGTGTTTTGTCCATGTGCTTGATTATGCTGGAAAATTGTTGATGTGTGTGGGAGGCAGGAAGATGCAAATAGAGACCACTCAGAAAGTAGCTTTCTGTGAATGAAGAAAGGCAAGTTGCCTTAAGCAGAATTTGCAAAGTTGAAAGAAGAAAATAAAAAGAGGGGACTTGCGTTTGAGTTTGTGTTGCTTTGCTGTACCTCCTCAGTAATGTATCATTAATGGCTACCTCAGCTCTTAGTAGGCTCCTTTGAGTCCGCTGCACTTTGCCTGCTTAAGTTCTCAGTAAGCTTGTGGTTAGAGACTGTTAGGGAGAGAATGAGGGTAAGAGTCCAGATTCTTGATGTTAGGTCACTCTGGCTGTGTTTCTAGCTGAGCCTGTGGGGTGGTAGTTTTCCACACACAAGTTCTAATCCCTGCCACCCAGTGGAAAGCAGCCAATCCACAATTTCAAGTAAAACTCACAAAGGGATGGAGTCCAGAGGCTTTGTGTGAACCGAGACTCCCCAGCAATTTGCCAGAGGTCCCTTTGCTGCTGCTTTCCAGAAATCACACTTTAGTTTTATACAGCTGTTTTCTCCAAAGAGGAGCTGAGCGCAATGGGCCAAGCCTTGCCAGTGCTCTCATCTGCCTTCAGAGGAGGGACTGCACCAGGCAGTTGCATGGCGAATGACCATGGCATGACCTTTTCTCTACAGAATGCACATTGCAATCTGGCATAGTGGCTTCCTTACAGACAAAGCGGTTTCTTTTCAAAGATAAATTTTTGAAGTGGCAACTGTGAGGGCTCTAAACTTGTTTTCTTCAATTAAAGCACTTTTTCATTACATATTTAAGGTCAGACTGAGACTTATTTAAATGAAGGCCTAGATCCTCATAAGAGCAAGATTCTCTGGAGGGAAGAGATCTATACCAGCTGAAAACAGCAGCGAGTTAGCAAAGCAAGAATTTGATGGAGGAATTCTGCTGTTTCCAAGAAGGTTCTGGTTGGCAGCAGCAAGACCTGGAGAGTCTGTTCTTACTGGAATGATCTTCTGCTTCTCTGATTTCCAAACCCACCCTGCACCTCCCCATTATTTAAATGATAACCTTGAAAATCCTGCAGCAAAAGATGCAATTCTGCAGAAGGAGGGAGGTATGGGCCCACGAATAGAGTGGAACAGAATGAAGAACAAAACAGAAGAGCATGGGGGTATTTCACAGAAGTTCAAGTCATCTCTGTTTCATGTCTTTCTATGTTTTATTTTTTTGCCTTTCTTGAGCGCTTAGAAATATGCAGATTCCCTGTTCTGAGGCAGCTTTGTCTGCAGTCCTTGTCGAAAGAAGCCTTGAAACTTGATAATTTTAATCTTTGATTCTAGCTCCCATTATTTATGAGCACCTCAGGATTCTTTTTCCTCTTGTCGAGAGGCTCCTGTCTGTCTTGTCTGACCCAGGGGGAATATTTCCAAACCCTTTTTCAAAACACTGAAATCAAATTTCATAGTCGTTGTCTCAGTTTAAAATATATACCAAGTGTTGACAGCTGATGCCTTGGGCACAAAAGCACGTACAGAGCAATGCTGGAATGACTGCTAGACAACTGAGAACAGGGTTGGAATGCAAATGTGTCTATTGACAAGTCAGGAAATGGGATAAAAAGACAGTGTCCATTTCAGCATGGCTCTGGGACAGCTACAACTGGTAGAGATGGTCACCTTGAACGCCAGGAGGTCTGGGAAATTGGGGATCTGGATGCTAGAGCATCTACCAGGTTGGGAAATTCAAGTGGAAATATGTGAGACAGCTGGTAAATAGGCTGTGGGATCGCTGAGCTTAGGTCAGTGCCCCTTGTTTGTGCTGCTTACTAAGAGAAGGTCTCAAAATAAGTCTGCAGAAAACTAAAAAGGGACTAACTGCTTTGGGAAACAAGCAGCATGTGTAATGAGATGAGGTATCTGTCTGATCATCCAGAATGATTTATCCTGTGTCACTTTTGTGTTGACTGTTACCTTTACAGTGTTATGGGACCTTTTCTATGTTCTGCTCCCTTTTTCACTGGAAGAAATTGGTGCTAACAGCAGTGTCAGTATCTTATCCATAGCATGCTGCAGGCTGAGCAATAAGCAGATATAATTTCTGTGAAGCCTTGGCATTTGTATTTTTTCTGTAAAATACATTTGTTTTAATGACTTCATTTGCTTTTCTTTCATTTTACAATTGAAAACATGATTATATTTCTTGTGACTGAGATGGAGTTGATATAACTTCAGATCTGAACTTGATTTCTCCTTTCATGAGCAGTTAATGTCTCAACTGCTTTGCACATCTGCCTTTGAGCTGTGAAACAGTTCATTCACCTTTCAATTTGGAACAGGACAACTTACTAATGTATTAATCTCTCATTTTGGAGGAGAGGAGGTTTAACCTAACTGATGTGCTTTAATTTTTGTGTTAGCAGTAGATGACCTAATGCTTTATTTTGCAGTCCTCAGCGTGGGTCATACTTACAGATTCTTATAACTTAAGACCAGTAAGGATCATCTCGTTTAGAGGTTCCCTGCTTTTGGTATTTGTGCCACAATAAAGAGGCACGTGAGCTCTCTGCACGTAGGTGGCCAATGACTGCAGCTGCTGGTGCTGGTGCTCATGCCAATAGCAACAAATGAGCAAAGAAAGCTTGAAACGGTCTTATCTAGCCTGACCCTCTGCACTTCTGGGTTTTATCCAGAGACTTCTGCAGTTGGCCAATAACATGTGTACCAAAACAATCTGAATTTAAAGGAAAAAAAAAAAGTGATTAGAGCGTCATCTTTGTCATACTCTCTGTTCTGTGAAATTGTCATACTCTGTGTTCTGTTAAATTGCTATAGTAACGCTGGTAGCAAGTTAGAATGAAGCTGATTGAAATACTGGCTCCAGGAATATTTTACAACTTCCTTGGCTTAGAACAGCCTGCAAATTCTGCAGTGTGTTGTATCCCACAATAGACTCTCCTATCCTGAAGTTTTCTTCAGTGGACTTTTCATTTCTTAGAGCTTGTAGTGGAATTACATTGTTGTGGAATGTTGTTTTTTTTCACAAGCAGGACTTCCAATCTCTGAAATTTTTGAAGTGCCTGACTTCTTGGTTTGAATTACAGCTAATTCTTTCCTGTTTTGAATTTTTTTTCCATCCTCTTTCATGTTTTCATGAAATCTAGTGATTTCATATAGATCTACTCACAAATAAAAAAGCACATGCAGCAGAGCGTGTAAGTTGCTTATTTTAATCTGCAAATAACTTTTTAATTAAATGTCATTGAAATCTGAATTTCCTTAAGCCTGTTTGCTGAAAAGAACATAAACATTTTACTGTGACTTGCCAGCTATAGAATTCCCTGATAGATTTTTTTCTTTTAGAAAAGAAGAGGCAAAAGAAGATGAAATCAACCAGTGACTGGAGGGAGAGAAGAAACGCCATTCGGCTTACCAATGAGTACACGGTAGAAACTTTGGTGGTGGCAGATGCTGATATGGTCCAATACCACGGTGCAGAGGCTGCCCAAAGATTCATCCTCACAGTTATGAATATGGTGAGTATGCACTTTATTGTCAAAAGAAGCAGCAGGAGTAAATGGATTTTATCTAGGGTAGGTTAAAGCTGGCTTTCTTGGCGACTGTACTGGGCAACTGTTTTGACTTTGAGGTATGAGGAAGGGTTTTATTTTTCTCATGTTACATCTCACTTCTCCCTCATCTGTGTGATTCCAATGACATTACAATACGAAAGCTGTTCTGAAACTGACCTTGCGATTTTTCATTTGGGAAGCATTCCATGGTTATTCAGGAGTGGTGTGTTCTGCCATATTTTTGTACTCCTGTAGTTTACCTTGGAAGGGAAGTTCCCAGAATAGATAAATGGTCTCACCTGACATGTCTCTTATTTTCTTTATTATTATCATCATTTTCTAAAGATTATATTTCCCAGTGTGTGTTTGTTGTAAGAGGCAGTCAAATTGTTACTGATGACAAGAGATTTGTATTGATTTACAGCAGATGAACTAGCTTGACTTGAAGTCTTTTAGGGACGGTACCTAGCCCAGATTTTTACATAATAAAAATGCTGCCTTCCTTGACATGTAAAAAAAAAAAAAAAACATGTCAAACTCAATACCAGCCAATAGGAATTTCAGCTGATTCCATTCTCCTTTACCCCTGGATTACTTTTGAAGCATGAAGTGTTTCTGCTTGTGCTTCTGAGTAGTCTGTGGAGTTGAGCTTTAGAATAATTTTAGGAATTCTGCAGGAAATCTCCCACAAGTGGCAAGAGTTTTTCAAGTTCTGAGCACATATGCAGTGTGGGTGTTAATTTGTTAGCTGTCCTAGAAGTACTCACCCTCAGCTAACAAGGAAACACAAAATCTCTCACAGTGGATGCTTGCTCACTCACTTGTTGGCAGTGGCAATAAAAAGATAACTGCCAAATTAGATGTGGATGCTGAAAACTCTGCTTAGAGACAGCAGGGGTCCTTCCAGAGGCACTTGCTCAAGGAAATCTTGAAGGAAGTTTGTATGCCTGTGCCCATGCTATTGTAAAATCCAGGCACAGTTCATTCTCCTGACTACAGCTCTGTTGCTGTTCATGAGCAGTAAATTGGCTTGGGGAAAAAAAAAAAACAAAACAACAAACCCAGCTCTTAACAGTAATTGACTGATCATGCTTCCAAATGAAGAGATGAATGACAGCTGCTCAGTGCCTAGCCCAGCCAGGGGACAGCAGAGCTTTTTGAGAGGTCTTATTTCTTCACCAAGCACTGGTGTGAGGGAGCCCTCCTGTAGTGAAATACTTCACTGATTAAGCAAGTATTTTATTTCTAACTAGTCTTTTCCATTAATGAGCTGCTTCTCTGTCCCTTCCTCTACCTTTTATTTTGCCATTTGGCATGCTGTGACAGTAGTCACTTGATAGGACATCATTGCGTTCCTCGATTTAGTTGGATTGGTTTGTAGGAAATGTCTTCTTTCAGCAAATGCATTCTTGTGACCATCCTTTCAGGTTCTGCTGGCTTTCCTGTGTTTAAGGATGTAATTGCTAGGGGCACGAGAGCCTTATTCTTCTCAGTGTCTTCGTTTTCCACACTTCTAAATTCACATATTAGCTTTGCAGTGAGCTGACCAGATGTAAGTTCATCTCTGAACAAATCAGCTTCTTAAGTCGCTTTGTAGCCTGATGCACACTTAGATGTAATGCATGTGTCAGATGTTGGGACCTCCTCAGGGGTGGGTGAATATCTTTTGTTTGCACTGGGAACCCAGGGCAATGAATTTGGCTCTTCAATGTTTTGTCATTGTGCTAATAAACCATTGCCATTGTGCCTGCCAGTTCTGCCGGGACTCAGATCCTTGTGGCTGTGAGAGCTCTTAAATCTTAAGCCTAATCATGTCTTGATTGTTCTAATACCTAAAGATCCATTCTTTCAGTGTAGGTGTTAATGTATCTCTGTCTTCCATGTATTTTTGCCTTTCTCTCAAAATCGTTACATTTAAGGACACTGAGAGGCCAAGTCCTAAACTAGAATTGGCCACAAATGCTGCTCTCTGTCCAGCCTGAGAAGTCCTGTAGTACATCTCAGCAACATCAGCTTGCTCTTGCTAGGTATGACTTTGCATATGGGGATGTGCTGATGGGTTGGAACCTCTAGGCCTGTTTTCTGAACAACTGCTGAAGCTTAATTTCTAATGGATTTAGCTGATAGACTTGTAAGCTAGGTTTTGATGCTTTAGTGTGAGCTCAGCCATTTATTAGACATCAGAGAGTGCACATGGATGAAAAGTATTGGCTGAGGATACATTTATTTGATATCTCCTAAGGTGCAAAGTCCAGCTGAAATGCTTCCCACTGTTAAGTCACTGCTCCTGGGGGTTCATCCGTGTGGTTCTTCTGATGGCTGGTAGGATTTGAATTTGTTCTAGCTTCTCAGCCTTCATAGAGGCACTGACAGTGTCCTTCATCTCTGTCTGCCCACCTGCTTTCCCACACTTGTAGAAGCTCAGTACCTTTCAGGGCTCCTCCTTCCTGAGGAAAGTGGTTGAGAAAGGACAGAAAGCTCAGAAGATACTGAGGAATAATAATTGGCAAACACGTAGATCACGTAATTGCATGAATCCTTTTTATGATGCTATAAAACAAGGTGGAATTTGAGGAAATCAAAGAGAATTTTAGCATTCCATTTGCCATAATGAAAGCAGATCTTCACACTATCAAAAGGGGCTGAAGAATAATTTAGAAAATGTATTTTAGGAAGAGAGATGTGGCTCAGCTAAGCCTTAGCTGATCTTTCAGGCACGCTCTTTGGGTAGTGCTCAAACTAGACATGACAGATCTGTGCGTGTCAGCTCCTTGTTTATAAAATCACTGTTCAAGGGACGTGACAACTGTGTTTCTTTGGGAAAATCCTCCTGATTTCTTTGATACAGTGTCAGTTGTGCTCTCTGTAACCATGCAGCAAAGGCCAGGCTGCTGGGGACCTCTGCTTGCTGCCTGCCTCAATAGATTTCTGTCAGCCTTCTGTGACACTTTAGCTGGGGGACAGGATTTGCCCCATGATATTAGGCAATGCTTATTCAGCTATGCTGCAGGATGGCGGGCTGCCTCTAAAAGAAACCAGAATGTTAATTTTGGCTTGAAGGCTTGCATTTAAGCAAACAGAACGTTACTGGTCAGGGGTATATTAACTCCTCTCTATAAGCCATTACATTTACTGTCAAACCACAAAACAAGCATTAAGAGGTCTTATTAATGCATTTTATATTTATAGACGTTTCAAGCAAAGTGATCTGCCTTCAAGTATTTAATATCTATTTATGTTACAAGAATTTCTGAAAGAGAAAACTACGAAAAATTACAAAATAGTGTTTTATTGCTCCTTTGGTGAATGAAAATCTGGGGTGTGGGGGAGATGTGGGAAGAAATTCCTAAGGGAAAAAAAGCAAAACTCTTCTGCAATCCAGAAATAGCAGGTGGAGCTTCATGGAAGAAATGGTGATGTGTTATTTAATGATGCTCTGCGGTTCTGACCATCCCCCCTGAATAGAGAATAGATTCACATTATGCTTACTTGTTATTTCTGAATGTCATTGTTGAGATGCAAGCCCTTCCATTTAATAAGCTAATATTTGAAGCTGTATGACAGCTTTTCCCAGATGACAGAAGGATTTTGCTCTGAAGTACTCTGTCGTGTATGAGTGGGAACTGAACTTGAGGCTTCTCTGCTTACAGCTGGGGGATGTCAGTGCATTGTCTCTCTCCTGTTTCTCTGAATCTGCTCACAGAACTGTGTTTTTGGAGCAGGTTCTGAAAGGTTAAATGTGCAGTTTTCTTGCAGTTTTCTGCTTTTGTGTTTTTCTTTTTTGTCTGTGAGAAGTGGCCGATAAGGCTAGAAGGAGATTCTCTGTCCTCTTAGACAGGTATACTGGCCTCTACTGTGGCAGGTCTTCACAAATAGAGTCTTTGGCATAGTAATTTAATAGTTGCTTTCTTTGGCCTTGGGATTCTTAGATAAAAGTGCATTTTTGGAGCTTGGGAATAACTGAACGTGCCTTTTTCTGAGAGAGCAGAGCACCCAGGGATGCAAGGATAAGTTGCTATACTTGACTATGTGTTAGGTTTTCCTGCAGCTGTTTCTAAGCTGTGTGATTAGTGTGAAAGCCCTCTGCAGAAGCAAGCAGTAACTTGAGGTTAGTGATCTTGTGGATGCAATTAAGAGGGAAAGTTTTTATGTTATTCTTGAGGAATAACACTGCTTTACTCTCTGAAGCCTTCTTTAAGATTCCACATCTTGTTTTTCATCTTAGATTTTCCCTTTGAGAGATTTTTCTACGTTGAAGTTACAAGAAGATAAAAAACATTTTTATCATGCATGTATTGATAGATTTACATCTCTATGCTCCTGGGGGCTGGCACGTAAAAGAGCTGCTGCTGATAATCAGCTCTCTTGTTCTGATCTAGAATTTTCATGATTGGAATGGAAAGTAAGGGAATAAGGTATGGATATTTGATCACTTTCTACAAATTTCTCTGCAGCAGTCCCAGGATTAAAAAAATAAATAAATAAATAAACTGTATCTTATAAAGAAAATGAACGTGCCCTTCTTTATAATGTTTAATAGGGAAATTTGAAATCTTGGGTTCAGGTAGATGTTAGAAATCCTATAGTGCTTTTCAAAACAATTAAAAGACAGCTTCAGTAACACAACCAATGCTCCTACTGTCCAAATATCTTCCAGCAGCCAATGGAATGGGAAGGCTGGAGCTTGAATGCAAGGTTTGAGGGTGGCGGGGGGAGGTAGAGGAAAAGGAAGAAGAATGTGGTGGGGGAATTGAATAAAAGAAAAAAAGGCAATTCACCCTCAGGGTTGTTGTGCTGAACATCTGACTGAAACACATGCGTCTCCCTCCTACCATCCACCTGCAGAGGAAGCTCTTGAGAATTTAAAAAAAAAAAAAATTATACTAATGTAGTTTAGTTCCTCTCTTAGCCCAATTCCTCATGTCTGGGTCGCACTTTGTGCGTGCTGGGGCAGGTCTGAACTGCTTGTGCTAAAACTGCATTTATTCTGTTCTGCCGATGTCAAAACTATAAAGAGAAAGAAGGGCAGGAGGAATGCAGAATGGAGAAGGAGGAGGAGAAGAAAGATGATTTGGGCTTCATTCTTTTCTCTAGGGCATTCTTTGCATTAGGGCTGTGTCAGGGAAATATGTACAAAGGGAGATGTCAGATAAGCTTTACTCTTTTTCTGCTGCAACTCTTCTTCCATTGTTCTATTTTTCTAAGACTCTACCGTGCCTGTTTACAAAGTACTTTATCTGGGCTTTGTAGAATGGAAGTTATACTAATGGTTTACATTCAACAGGGTAACTGGTGCTCGTGACTGTTTCAGCTGCATTGACAGTTTTTCATCACATCCTTCAGTCCAGTGAGCAAGAACTTTCTGTTCCAGCTGAACTGCTCTCTGGTGCTGCAGTGGTAACCTAAACCAGTAACTTTTGGATTTTGTTCCAAGGCAGAGTTTAGCAAACTGTTAGTGGGTTTCATGCAGCTGACTTCTGTTTCCAGCTGTCTCATTTAATTAAAAGGTTCTAAAATACCCCAAATACTCTTTATTTTCCCATGGCCACAAGGATGTGATAATGCATTTGCAAGCTTGGGGAAGGGTGGCCCATGGTATTGCAAGTGGGAAGGGAGGAGTCTATGAGTCAGTCTCTATAAATTCATGCTGTTTGTGCAGCAATAAATCTTGAGAACATCTGCACTGGGAAATGCCATTCCTCCTCCCCTGGTACCGATTATCTCAGCCGTCTCACATGGTCCTGTTAGCTCATGTGCTGATGGCAGCCAGTTGGTTGCTTTGTGTGAACAGACTTTAACCTGTTGAATGATTTTCTTGTAGGCTAGAGGAGAAGGACAGAAGGTGGTCATTGCCACGATGGGGTCTGATTTCAAGCAGGAAAGACCTATGAATTTTTATTTCAAATGGACTCTTGGGCTCCATAATAATGGTCACAACCTACCTTGAACAGTCTGATTTGATGTTGTCAATGTGCAGCCAAAATGTCAGTGATTCACCTGTACTGAACTTAGTCTTGTACTTCTTTGTCAAGTCATTTAAGGACTGGTCGCTTTCTCAGTGAGGTTCCTTCTAGACTTAAACACAATGCTTTGAGACAGTTTAGGTTTTTATTTGTTAGGTTAATGTGTTGGGGAATAAACCCTTCTTGCCAATACACCCAAATTTATTCTTCAGTGATAATGAGCAATCTGTCACTATCAAAGGTTTTAAGCTCAGCACTGTACGTTAGGCAATTTGCAGTATATTTATCTGTACGTGCATTAAAGTACTGATTAAAAGCATATAGGAACTGGTCTTACTGCACTAAAACAAACTTCTGTCTCTCCCTTTTAATCCAGTCGAAGCCCATGGATTGAAAGGTCTTGTTCAGCCTCTGAGGCATTTAGAGTAGGGGAATAAAGGAACTTGCTGCCAGACTTCTGATAAGAAAGGCTATATCTCCTCCCTAGGTGGCACAATGTTTAAATGCTTTGGTTGTACTGAAGTAGAACAGCCACTTCTACCAGAATCTCTTAATAGAGTAAAAGATGATTGTTCCTGCTGCATAACAAATACCACCATGACTACAGGGCTTCTTTGGCATCCATTTAAGAAAACCAGCATGTAAATCTTGAATAAACATGCCGACAAAAGCCTCTTTTGCATAGAAAGTGACTTTTTTGTTTAGTATCCATTTTTGTGCTATTGCCAATTGTGTCCAGTGCTTCTCCAATCGCTGGTAGATGCAAATACAAATAGAATTAAATTAACCTTTAGATGGAGAAGAGAGAAGAATGAGGGACTGACAACTTTGGAAATGACAAGATACATTTTCCAGCAACTGGGTTACACGATGCAGGTTCTGTCAGTGAAAACTACCTTTTGAAGTCAGTGGTGTTTGGATCTATCTGTGCAGGGTCTAGAGGCAGGCAGCTTGTCTATTTTGATGGAAAGCTCATAATCCATTATGTTTACTGATAAGTTCTTATCTGCTATACTGCTATTTTATGGCTAGAAACTTTAAAGGATGCTCAGAGCAAGCAGCGAGTGAGCTAGACAAATCAAAAGCATCCATCACAGGATCATGGCAAATATTCATTAGCCTCTCTAGTGGTGCGTGAGAGACTGACTTGATCACCTCAGTGCCCCATTGACTCACTCAACTGAATGGCCAACCCTCCATTTACAGATAGGCCAACTGTCAGAGCCCTTCTCTGCAAGCACGAAGTTTACACCCCCCTACCCAACTCTCCTCGAGTCAGTAGTGAGAGGCCTCAGCTTCTCTACCCACATACCCCTGAGGTAAGTAAATAGTACCAGCACTTTGTGCGTTTGTATACCAACCGCAGGGCAGATAAATGGCTCACTGTGCTCATGCTGAAGGTCAGTGGGTCAAATAGTGAGCAGCGTCTGTTTTGAAATCTGTGCCTAAATTATAGGAAACATTTAAGAGTGTGATTAAATCCCATTCCAAACACTAAAGTGCTTAAGAACTCTCTTACACTGAACGCATTCCTGAGTATTTGCACAAATAGGAAAAATACCAAGTGTTGAAAACATAATATCCAAAATATGTTCACATCTTGAGTGTTTTGTAGGAAGTTCACTGGGCCTTTGTGACATTTCTAGGCAAATGAGACACGAGTGGGAAATGCAACTTACCTGGGGCTAAGTCCTGTAGCCTCTGCTTAGGCTCTCTTCAGTGGTCTTGATTTGATCGATTGATTGATTGAGAAGGGAATGCAGTGTTCATCCAAAAGTTATTATGGGATATTTTAAACCTTTTTAAAATGAACCTGTCATTCATCTTTTTCTTTTTTGATACAATGTGATCAATGATTTGTACACAAAGAAATAGTGAAATAAATTTCTGGCATCATCTTATGTTCTAATCTATAGAAATGGCATGAAGTATCTGAGCTGGAATGCAAAATCTGGAGAAAGTAGTAAGGTAGTTTCCGGTGCTATTTTTGTATTTCCTGAGGCTTGTGTCATTATGTGCTGCCTTATTACTATTCTCTTCTTATGTAAGATATGAAAATAACAGAGGGAAATTGCTTTTCCATTCTATTTCCTGAAGTCTAAAACACACCATTATTTCATCTTGTATTCAGATATCTCTGATATTTCAATGCTAAAGATCCATGTTAGTTGGGTGCTTCATAATGTTCTTGAGACTTTATGTTTAGAGTTCCTTTGAAATATATCTTTACTTCATTACTCAGCAATTCTGTTCTCTCTCATCCAGTTCAATTAAAGGTATCTTTCTTTTTTCAACTAGATTATGGGTTCTTCATCAATTTTTTTTGTTTTCTAATGTTTCTGTCCTTGAATGCTGAATCTCACTCAGATTAGTCTGTTACAAGCTGGTCAGTTGATGAAGCCAAATGCTGTATAGAAGGAACAAATGTATTTTTGTAAGCTACACTATAGCGTGTGGAACTGTTAGAGTGGCAATACAGTAGCTCTTAAAATTCTTTATTGTAGTGGCACAACCCATTTGGTTTGAGTTTGGGTCAGGATTGTGAAGAACTGTCTAACTTCAGTCATAGTGCTTTTAACTGCTACTACATCTTGACATTGTTACTGATGTACTGTAGATGTTTTCTTTGCACTTTAACAGGTGTACAACATGTTTCAACATCAGAGCCTTGGAATTAAAGTCAGCATTCGAGTGACAAAACTAGTCCTACTTCGCAGTCGACCTGTGAGTTCTGATTCATTTTTACCCTCTGCTATAACTGTACTACTCTAGTTTTACAGGCAGAGCAGGATCTGTGTCCTGTGTGGGTGAGAAGTATGGGGTGTTTGGCCACAGGATCACAAAACGTAACTAATGTGTGCCCTGCTACGCCAGGTAGTGTTACAGATGGAAGTACAAGGGGCCACAGAAGTGGGAGGAACTGCAGTCCTCTTATGTAGCCTTTCTGAAAAATCTTTGCTTATAGTTGTGAGACAATCTCAGGAGTTAATTGTTAGAAAAACTATATGGCTCTGGGATCAAAAATAAAAATGCCAGATTTAGGAGGCTTTGAAGCTTGTGACTGCTGCCGGCTGATGGAATTTGTTCTGTATATCAAATGGCAGAGGTCAATGTGGATTATGAAGCTCCTACTTCACCCTCTCAGGTGAAGTTGGTTTCATGCTTTTTCATTTTCTAATGTTTGTGTATTTGATCCTCAGTTGTTTGGTGTTTTCTTTTTTTTATCAGAGGTATAATGATTTTGTAAACACTGTGATGAATATCTGTTCTTTTGTATCCCTTTCTATACAAAAGGCCAAGTTATCTATTGGGCATCATGGAGAGAGGTCTCTGGAGAGCTTTTGTCACTGGCAAAATGAAGAATATGGTGGAGCAAAATACCTTGGTAACAACCAGGTTCCTGGTGCGAGGGATGACACCCCTCCTGTGGATGCTGCAGTTTTTGTAACCAGGTATAATGAGGCTAGGTTTATTGGTTTCCTTAAGCAATACTGGCCCATAGTCTGTGCTGGGATCATCTGGTTCAGCAGTTTATCCAAGAAAAAGATCCATTGATGATGATATGTTTGCTGCCTATGTGCTGTTTGGAGGGCTCAGATGCTTCAGGTGAAGTGTTTTGTTTTTGTGTACTTAACACTACTGTGCAAAAGCTTTATCACAGTTGTCTTAACTGTATCCTGACTATGACATGCTATCAAGACATGTCTGTAGAACCCTGTAGAAAAAGGGTGATAGAAAAAGGGTGATACCTTTTTCTTAGATCAGGTGGTAGAAGTCGAAAAGAGGTGAGGTTTAGGAAGACACCAGTCTTCGTCCTACAAGAAAGAAGCTGCCAAGTTGAGAATGTGGGTAAGAACAAGCACCTTAAATTTGATTAGGTATGCATATTAAGCACTCTGAGAGGAGAAATAGTTGGTACCTCTGGAGCAGACAGTGTGTTGGTAGGAAGGAGATGGTGAGGGAGCTGTCTCCTAAAGAAAGAGAGAAATGAATACCAGAAGCTAAATTAATTTTCTCTTTGCCTTAGGAAATAACCACTTTAACATCCCCCCCTCTGTCAATCCTCAAGTCAGTCATTCTTAATTTGTCTGTGTGTTTAAAACCTGCTGCATTTATTTCAGGCATGTATCTGGTTGTGTAAACTGTGTACTTTAAACTTAAGAATGCATTGTTTCAGAAATTACTACTGAATAATTAAAGTGAGCACAAAAATGTAGTGTAAGATGGCTTCTTTATTGCTTGAAAGACACTACTTCCTACCTTCCTCTTCCCTAGATTGAGACAGGAAATGTTTGTACTGCACTTAGATATTCCTCACCTGTGCTACCTTTTTTTCCCCTGCCAACATTGTAACTAGAAATGCGTGCTTTTGCATAAGCTGCTGTTTTGACTGCAATTGTCTTTTGTGTTAACAGTCACGTTGCAAACTGTCCACTGGATTGTAGTGGTTCAGTAAAATAGCTGGCAAGCAGGGCATGGGGCCAGCAAAGCTGTGACGAGTGCACCTTCACAGATGTGTGCAATTTCCCCAGATCTTTTTCTCTCCATCATATTCACTGTAGCCCAACCCAAGCACCTAAGCAACTAGTTAGCATTTTAGGCAGGATGAGTGGCTCCTTTGAAATCATTGGGCTGAACATCCTGGTTATAGTTAAGAATATGCTTTATTGGATCACAGCCTAAATAAATAACTAACATTTCTGTTGAACTCATCTGGGCATCGAGTTGTCCTGCATGACAAGTGAGGCATACAGAATCTCTTCTGATGTGTTCTGAGCACTGGATGAAGGGAATGAGTGGAGCATTTCATCTGTGCATTCTGTCTGCAGCTTACAAATTGAATGCATAATGTCATGTTAAATGAATTGAACTCAGGCGTTTGAGGAAGAATTGCAGAGATGCTCATTGGGTTCATTAAATATGTAGCTTTTGTGATTGGAGTAGTTGGAAAAGTACAGGTTCAGTTGGGTCAGAAGCTAGGTTCAGATTTTGTGAGAAAGTTCAGGCCAAGGAGCACATTGTTCTGTGTAAGAGCAGCATTTCTCTGTTTGATAGGTCACCAATGTTCACTTGTATCCTTCCACCCTGCTTCTGCTGCAAAGAGGATGCTGTGTTCTTGGAAGACTTCTGGCCAAGCAGCCCGATTCCTTTGTCAGGGTTTCTACTCTTGGCTTTGGCAGTGTGTATCCCTTGACCCTCTCCAGACTACAGTGACCAGTAAGGGTACAGGAGCAAAAGCATGTCCAGCACAAGCAATAGAACCAGAAAAAGCAGAAGCTGAAATTTCAGCAGCTGCTTTAAGAGTAGGAATAGATTATCTGGGCTCGATCTCTGGAATCAGAGGACTTTCTTCAGTCTTGCTGTGTTCATTTGAAACGCCATGGCACGCTTGGTTCTTGGAACTTCACTTGTAACTGGTTTTCCCCATATACTCATTGTATGTGGAAGTAGATGACCTCCTTAAGCTACAGGTAAGGGGAGTACTCTATCTGAAATAAGGTGTACACTGCCTTAAGTAGGTAAGGGAGACAGTGGTAAAAATCTCTGAGGGTTTGAATGTAGTGCAGTGGTGTCTAGAATCATCACACTTTTGTTGTTCAAATTCTCATTTTGAACTTACAGAAATTCAAATCTCTGGCATTTACAGGTAATGCACTTCATATTTTAATGGGCAGCTGACCAGCATGGTTTCTTTCTGCAGAATCAGTATCTTAGTGACCCTAGAAGCATGTTTCATTTAAAACACATTCCCTCTGTTGATCTTCTATTCTTTGCATTCCTCAGAAAATCTTCAGATATTCTGTTGATCTCCCAGCTTCTTGGTCATTTAGGTCAGTCATTAGAGTATAGGTGATAAGGGAGCATAGCAGAGAATCAATCAGCACTGATAAGAACATAATTCAGAACTGTTACTCAGCGAAGACTTGTGTTTCTCTCTGATAAACTGCTGTAGTTATTCCATTTGCAGCCTGCTTGTTGCTTCTGCGTTTCTTCAGCTCTTCACCATCCCATTAAGTGGGCAAGTGAAGCAATTCCATATGCATTTAGGAAGCTGGGCACATAGTGCTACTAAATATATATTTAGGGTGAATTTTTTTTTTCTTTTTGGCAAGGTTTTGCCTGTTCCCATTTCCTCTATCCTTTAACTTTGTGACCCATCAGGGTTAAACTGGTTAAAAGATATCATTTGAAGGATGCTGATAACTGACTATTAAACAGAATACTTGTCATTCATGCTGCACAGTTCAGCTACTGTCCTCCTTTCTTACAGGAAGGACTTGAATTGCAGAATTTAGCTTAGCACAGTTAGGTATTTTTTTCCAGTTCATGTGAGCCAGATGGAAGAGTGACTTTAGGAGGAGTTCTGAGCTTCTTTTCTGGCTCTCTTTATTGCATAAAACAACCCACTTATTGTCATTTTTTCAAAGGAATTGTTTAATCTTGCTAATGAAAACATACTCTGTGATAAAAGTGATAATGACTGAGAATTTCAAAGGTCCCTAAGAAGTCAGAACACATGCACTACTTGATTCAGCCAATGGCTAAAAGTGGAGAGGAAATTTACTTCATTGCCATAGCATGTGATTTCAGTACATTATCCAAGACTTGGTGTGATAAGGTCAGATCTGGCCTTGGATTTGAATGGCAGCTCCTGGAGTGAGTTTTATTCCAATATAGCTATGTAAACCATCCTGCTAACATCTTGTAACATATCCACAGGTGAGACAGATCTTTCTTACTGCCTGTATGGTCTGCAGTCCCTCCCATGATTTTCCAGGAAAGGACTTTTTGAATTTCAATGTGTAGATTTTATTTAGGCAGCATCTTGTCTTTGAAAAAAAGGCTGAGATCCACTGAGCTCATTTGAACGTGTTTTTATGTTTGGCCAGAGTTTTAGGGTAAAACTTAATAAGTCCAGGTAATTTAAAGCATAGCATCTTCATGCAAAACCTTTTAATAGAATGAAGTATGGTGTCTCTTGAACTTTATAGGACGGGCTGGGAAATCTCATACTTGCAAGCCCACATGCAGTGAGCTGGGTAATTGTGTTCAGTTCTTTTTGCTGACCTATTTCAAGTTCTACTCTGACCAGGCAGCATCACAGCACTCTCTTAACACACAAGATTGTTCTACCTTTCTACAAGTGTGTGCAATTTGTGCTGAATTACTTTTAAACCCTTGTTTTATGGCATGGTGGCAGTTTCTTCAGGAAGCTGCCCACAAGTGCCAGACACCCTTCAGTGTAGATCATGGAGTGCAAGGGGCAAAATTTGCTGTGCTTTGTTTGCAGAGCCAGCCAGCCCCTGAGGAGAGAAGCTTCTCTAGCAATGGCCTTTTGCCATTTACTAATAGTTCAGCTATCTGTTGTCACAAGAAAAGCATCTGTTTGCTTTACCAGTTTATATAACATAATAAGTCCTTAAATAAACCTCTGTCAAGTTGGCCCTGGGAACTCAAGCGGGTGTGCTTTTGCCAGCTCTGTCAGGAGGCTGTCATTAGTCTTCTTTGGAAGGGCTGGAATGCCAAGGTGTCGAGACACAATAAGGCTGCAGTGAAAAATGAAAGCTGGGGCTGGTGTATGGTCGTAGCTTCCAATTTTGTTTTGTTCCTATCTGATTTTTTTAACACGTTGATAGTTGTTACATTTTTCCTAATTGAAGCATTCTGAGACTTCAATATCTGCTTTGCGAGAGGTGGTAACAGTTGTTCTTCCAAGCCTCTGGCAAACTGATTTCTCATTTCTAAAGAGTTTGGTGTGAAGGTTTTGGGTTTGTTAGCAACAATCCTGAGCCTTAAATACCTTTTCCTATAAAGCCCAATTTCATACTTTTTATTCATGGAAGAAGTACTTCTAATCTTTCTCCATTCTTCTTTTTGCCACACTCTTGAATTCAAAATCCTTTCTTGGACTTGAGCATTTCAAACAACGCATTCCAGCTGTACTAGTGTGATTCTCTCACTAGCCTTCCCTTAGGGTGAGGAAAGCCACAACAGAGATTATGGTTTCTTGGCTTCCCTTGGGCTAAGGAACTTCAGAAATGTACATGATGCTTTTCTGTTCCTTTTCATAGCAGATGGTGCTGCAGAGCAGGTCTGAGGATAGTTTCTAAATGTTTAGGCCTAATTGCTTATTAAAATATATTCAAACCATTAATTTAGTTATAAAATACTTCTCTTCCCATGCTTGTTATGCTCTCATGAGGGTTCTCATTACAAAATCTCACTTGAAGTGGTATTACTTAAACAGTGAGCGTCAAGGGTTTTTTTCCTGCTTCTGTTTAACAAAGATCCGTGGATCTCTGTCAGGATATGTGGATGCCAGTGTCATATGTAGCATCTTCCTGCTTTAGTGAGATTCAGGGAGACTGGATGAGATGTGGAGGGATAACAGAGAGAAGATAAAGTCCTTTTAAACCTGTGTTGGATTCCAACCATAACATGGCAGAGTTGACAGTAATGTGTTTAGCTGAAGCCTGTTTACCTGGCTGTTGTGTGGGAAATCCTGAAATTCTTTTTTTCTCTACCAACATCTGTCATTGTCTGTTTAGTCCTGCTTCTCTCTTGTCCTTCTGTATTGCAGTGAAAGAAGAACTGAGAATTTCTGGCTGTAGATGATCAGTTCTGTGTTCCCAGGCAGTGACCCCACTTGTCCTTTCCTGCCACTGTTGATAATGCAGTTCTCTTCTCAAAATGAGACATTCATTATCAATCCAGGTGCTGAAGTCTGACTTCCTAAAGACAGTCTCATATATGATATTGCAGTACTCTTTGCATGCAAAATCTGAAGTATTAAATTAGATAGTAAGACACGGAGCTGATTCACATAATTACTTGTAATCTTGTAGCAGCTCTCAGTGTTGCTGTCTGTGTTGTCATTGTGTAGACTGCACAGCAGTTAAATAAAAAACAAAATCCCTCTACTCCTGTGATATGTAAATCATGCATCACTGCTTTTTCCTAGCATGGAGTCTGGAGGCACAGGATACATTTGACTTTTGTTCTGTTTTGCTTTCTAGGACAGATTTCTGCGTACACAAAGACGAGCCTTGTGACACTGTGGGTAAGTCAAAGAAATAGAGGAGAATATTTTGATAGCCAACTGTATGCTGAGAGGAGCTTTTGGGGCAGTCTTTCATTCTATCATTTAACATAATGCTGGGTTTGCTATTCTGAATACCTCTGTGATGCAAATACAGATTAGTACGGGGTACCAACTATAGATAATCCTTTAAATGCTAACCCTTCTAGGCACTGGAGGTCTCTGAGTTTAGGAAGTAATCTTAAGTAACCTTATGTTTTTGGAGCAGATGTAGCATTAGATAATTAGAGATTAAGAAATTGTCTGTTAGTATGTCTGTAATGTTCCTTCCAGTGCTCCCTCACCTCATTTCTCAGAGAAGAATTTGCTAACTAATGAATGTATTTGCAGCTGTAAGAACCTGTGCAACACTCACAGATCAAATTGGCACATAGGCATGGAGAAGAATACCTCATTGTAGGAAAGCCAAGTTAAATCTTCTTTTCCGCCGCCTGCTTCCTAACTGCCTTTAATCTTACCCAAGCCCTGGATTCACAGAGTCCTTACATCCTCCACGATCCATCTATTTATTTATTCTACTTAGGTAGCAGTAATCTTCACTGTATCTGTTCATCTGGTGTGTTTTTTTTTTAATCTTGACAGTAGCAGCAGTGTGTGGAAATATAACTCAACATCCTCTCTGTAATGATTACATTAATTTTTTTAAACATGTCTGAAAGTCGAACTGCCCGCTATCCCACGTACTGTGTGAACTTGGAGTGGATCCTGACTTTCAGCTGATCTTAAACTTCAGCGTTTGCAGAGGCACTTGGAGACCAGGAGTCTCTACTAACAGCAGCAGGTGATGAGGGATGTGGGGTATCCTCAGCAGTTCTGGGGCTGCTTATAGAAGTCGCATTTCAGAATGCAGACCCTTCCCTCTCTGTGTTTTGGAGTCTGATCAGGTGGAAGGAAATAAAGAGCTGAAAAATGCATACGTTTTCTTTTTAAATGTGAGCAGGGTTTATATGTTTAAATTTTCCAATGGGAATCTCTCACAGTGCATTTGTTCTTTGTCCAATTGAAAACACGCTTCTGCTACTACAGAGGAAGGTTTTTTGTGTCTGCATCTGAAGATGCCTGTGGTAAGATATAATATGGAAATGAAGAAGAAGAAAAGCTGATGGAAGATATATGCTGACCAAGGTCAGGGCTTTTTCCATTTTTAAAGACAGTGATATTGAAGATCTCTGTTCAGGGGATGATGTAGACAGCATGACGAAGGAAATATTTTTGACTTTTTTTTTTTCTGTTTGTAAACTACCCAAATACTTTCTTGTGCTGAAGTCTATGGCTCTAGTGGAAAAAAGTGGAAGATCAGAGTGATAAAGATTAAACTTGTTAGATGCTATTTCTGCTGTAGTTTTTTGTAGACTTTGAGAAGATGGATATTCCAATAAGGGAAAACAGTTTGGTCTCTTTGCTCTCTTCTGTCTTGCTTTTCTTTACTTCTGGTGCTAGCATCTTCACTTCTGCATTTCCTATGCCCTGCTGTTTTTGTTGTTTGATCCCAGAGTCAGTGTCCAGATCAAGTCTTTCATCATAAGATACCTGCTTAATTTTTTTTAATACTGTTGAATTAAGTAAAAATTTTGATGGCATCCATTTTCAAGCATTATTGCCTGTGCCCAAGGTGGTGAGCTGCTGCAGTTGTCTCACATCAACTACCTGCTGAGGCCCTTATCTCTGTGTTGCATATTTTGAAATGTTTCTTCAAAACTCTTACAGCTAGGAACTGTTCTGGTAGGCCTGCAGTCTGAGTGGAGTCCACCCAAGTTACACTATATGTTGATATTTCATCTGTCGCTGCCTTGAGAAATAGCGCTTATGTTTGGAGCCTGAAAGAAGATAACAGTTCTTCTGCTCTCTTGTTAAGGAGGAATGCAGTAGTGTGGTATGAAATTGGAGAATGGTGGATTTTTGGAGATTCACATCCATAAAAGAGTTCATGTTTCTGAGTTCTTACACAAGTGCTAAAGCCGTGAGATTGTATCAGATAATCAAGGGCCACATGTCTAATTGCCCCGAATCAATCGTATTTGTGATTTGCATGGAGATCATTGACTCTGCTTTCAGTATAGCAGTGTTTTAACTTCCAAATCAGCAAATGTACCTACAAGAGCAAGAAGCCATTCCAAAGAGTGACATTGCATTTGGTCTTGAAGATGATGCTGAGATTACAGCAAAGTTCTGAAGAACTGCAACTTGCTTTCATTCCTTACCTTGCACTTCCCCTTTGTATGTGAAGAACTGTCTCACCAAATGTGTGTGTTTTTTTTACCCTCTTATGGATAAAGCTGGCCATTGCAATGTGATGCACTGCTGCCTTTTAAAGGAAAAAGTACCTTCTTGGTGAGCAGGCCATCTCCTAAACTAGGAAACTGAGGCTGCTGCTCTGTATGAGGTGTAGAATCTGGACTGTAGAATACTGATTTTTATTCTCAGCTCTGGCATTGGAGCTCTGTGTGACATTTGGCAAGTCACTTATGTTTGGAATGCTTCTGTCTACCTCTATGAAATGGGGATTTTAGTGCAAAGCTACAAGAGATTGTATGGCTTAAATAGTTCATGTATAAAACTGTATGATGCATATACATAAAATGTACAGTGCAAATGTGAGTCAGCAATCTAATGTTGCTTAGTCATATACAGACTGTTAGACTAATTTTAGTGCAAATAATCTATTTAAAGCATTGTAAGTATTTGGGGGGGATGGGGGACAGTGCTTTGATTTCTTTTTTTTTTTCTATATGTTGTGAGAAATATGCAAGCAGAATTCTTGGTGGAAATATTGAGACTCAGCTGTTGTTTGGAAGTGGGATTATGAAATTTAAATGGTTTATAAGAGGTGTTCATTTGTGCTCAAAAGATCCATACTGAAAAACCTGTCTGGAATCTTTGCTTGCTATGCAGACACAGAGAGAAAACAGCAGCAGGAGGTTTGTATTTGTATTCTGGCAGGGGCCTCTCTGAAACCAGTTGCTCTGGGGACTTGGTTCAAATTTTCTAGGCCCAGCTGCCAAGGTAGTGTGGAAGGTTACATAACGGCTGAAACAAGCTCAAAAATTGTGAAAATATGTAGGTATGTCTTTGTGGGGTGATACCCCACTGACTGTGTCAAGTGACAGAACCACATCTGTTTAAGGAATACTTTATTAATGCTGATTGCCCCGCTTGGTTTTGTGAGTAAGCTGTAAGAATGAATGAATTCAAAAAGGAGGGGGAGAGAAGGAAAACACTGCATGCAACGCATTTGCCACAGTTGTGTTTCAGTAGTCTCAGTCGCTGGTACCTCTGATAGGCTCTGCAATTGGAGAGCAGGAGGTTTGCTTTGTGCAACATAACCTTGACACACACCAGTCAAAAAGTTTGCAGTCTGCTGCTGCTTCAGACTCATCTCTCGTGATGCGACTCCAACCAGCTCTGCTGTTTCCTGCAGAAAAATCTTTGTTCCAATTGAGCTGCCTCTAAGCCAGCCAAATTGAGAGTTTAATGTCTAGCTATTAATATCAAGCTGCAGCTTGGAGCCTTGCACGTTGTAAGGATCCAACCTTTCTGTGACATAAGCAGATTGAGAATGCCCCTTTCGTTCAATATTTCCACTGCTAGTGCCAAAAAAGCAGCTTTATGGTTAGTTAGGAATGATCCTGCATATTTCAAGGCAAAGCTTGGACTTGATTCCTCAGTGTACATGTTACCCCAGATCCAAGCTGAAACTTCACTGTATTCAGCTAATAGTAAAAGTAGGGGCAGTATGGAATTGGGAAATGGAAAATGAGAAAGTGTCTTAAATATCCTTAAATTGCCCTGGTTAAAAATGTCTTTACCTCTTCTGCAGTCACATATGCTTTCTGTGGCTTGATGCTGGGGAAAAGAAAGCAGGATGCAGTGTATATACTGCAGACAGGCAGGCTTAGTTGAAGAAATCACTGCCTGGAGAAAAGCGAGCATCAGAGCAGAAGTGATTGAGAAACAGTTTTCCAAGCTGTTTCCACAAGTGAATCAGTGTGTTGGGAAAACAATCCCATCTCCTGACTGGCTTTAACTGAAAGGCTCCAAGGTAACTTATTAAAGGGGTCCTGGGGGTTATAAATTCTTGTGTAGTTTGTGTCCTGTATTTATTTATTTGCCTCTTCCAAGCACAGACTGATATGTGTGTGGTTTTGGGTTTGCCAATGTTGCTGTTTGGTAGCTGTGCAGATGGTGTCCTTCTGCTGTCCCAGTCATACTGTGGTCATTTCTTCCTTCCATGAGAAGTGCCATCATGGAGAGCTGCATCCTATGGTGCTATTGGCTAATTTTCCCTCCCTTATCAATTACACCCTGCTCTCTTATGAGTACTGTCGCACAGAGTTTTTGAAATATGTCCAGGTTTTCCAAATCTGACACTTGTTCTACACATCACTGTAGATTTTATCCTTTGTATTGCATGTAGAGCACCTGAAAAATGGACAATGCATTTTTAGCTTTTCCTTGCTGATTTGCTTGTGCAGTCGGGTGGTTCCTGTTCTCAGCAGTAACAGTTCTTATCAGTCCTGCCTGTGCCCTGCGCTGTTCATTTAAATCTTCCTCCCCGTGTATTATAGATTGCAGTCCCTTAACAGTGTCACAACAGAGAATTAATCCCTAAGGAAAGGGAAAAGACTAGTTGGTTTGCTGTGAGTGGAAAAGAAAAGGAATTCTCACATTAAAAACATTTTCCATAGTGGTTCGTGTTGAATGTTTCTGTATATTCCAGGGCGGGTTTTTATTTGATGCCAGAATAAATAGAAATACCTGCTGCTTAAAACAATTCATTAGAGAAGCAGTGCCTGGCTTTAGCAAAAGCCTTACTGAGACTGTCCTCCAGACCAGAATCAAACACACTTCAGTGCATTAAAATGAACATTCCGTTGGTTAAAATGTCCTTTAAAGGGACACTCTGTAATTAATTTCATGTTTGTGAATGAGCAGGACCTCACAGCACTGCAGATTTTCCTATC